GCAGCCTCCTTCTGTCACTGGTGCAAACATCCTGTTGCATCTGCTCTAGGCTAAGCAGAAACCATTTAGGACAGAGAAGCTGTTCTTTGTTTCTCCGGTGCTTTGTATGAAGACTCATGGCTAGCATCACCCATTTGACAGTAGCATAGTGAAGTGGTATGCCTCCTGCCTGCAGCACCAAACTGCAAAAGTGGGAGATTTCCAGCTTCTCGTGCTTCATTCAAGAAAGTAGGTCCTGCACCGTGGTCACTAGCACACTGAGTTTAGTTACAATTCACTATAAAACCACTGAGCAAAGCAGGATGTGACAATAATGGTAACGAAATGTAACATAGCTTTCCCACACTTTTCTGCAGAGGAACTAACACCTATGTCAGCCACAGGGCTCGACATCTCTGTTCATGCATTTGCTTTTCATCTCCCTGTGAGACAAGGAGCCAGACCTTTAAAAATCATCGAAAATGAAGGTCTGTCTGCTTGAGAATGATTCAAAAGCAAACAGCAGTTCTCTGGCTTCTCCATCACATGTGGGTTTTACTTCACAGGACCTACGCTTTCCCACTGCTGTGTTAGCAAGCAAACTTTTTTTTGCCTTAGAGGCTTAACAAAGGACTTGCTTTCTGCAGGGAAAGTTTGCATGCATCCTTTGCTGTATTCCTTGCTTCCACTATGCATCTTCTGAGGTTTTTTGCAGAGTGTAATGCACACAGAGAGAAATGAAGGGGAAGAACAGAGTCTTGCTCCACTGCCCTAGCTCTTCTTCCAGCCCTTCCCCATTCCACAGAGGCAAAGGCATCCTCATCTAGCATGCCACAATGGGACAGATTGCTTGCACCAATCAACCCCTTATCACAACAAAGCTGAGGCTGTTTCTGGCCACAAGGTCTGACATGCTCAGATAATATCCTTGTGCCCATGTGCTGGAGGTGACACAGCACTAGGCAGAAATTGCTGCAACCCTCAGCTGCCATTTTGGAGGATGCAACAGGAGCACTCTGGGCCCCTGCTGCTTCCCAAGCCCACAGGTGGATGAGGAAGAATTTGGGGCCTGAAACCCTCCTCTAATAACTGACTGCACTTCCTGGCTCACTCCTTCCTCTGAAAGCAGAAATGCACAGATGAGGCAAGTCTGCTTTTGGGAAGGCCACATGCCAGGCTGCAGCATGCCAAAGGACTCACCTTGCACAAACCTGGATCAAGAAGCACAAAACAAATTCATGGAATCCCCATGGCTATGAAAGTCCTTAGTTGCCCATCCACCTTCCAGAAAGGATGTGCACAAAAGTGAAAGAGTACTCACCTCCCATCAAGCCTTTCCTTTGGCTCCTCTTCTGGAACTGCAGTGAGGCTGGAAGCCCTCTGGCTGCGCTGCCTAGCTGGGAGCAGCCGCTGAGAATCAGGAGCTCTGGTGCAAGTTCTTCCTCCTTCTGTCTCGTGCTGGCTGAGCAGAAAGGAGGAAGCCAGAGCAGTGGTTTGTGGGCGGGCGCCTTCCCCTAAACCCAGACAGCCCTATGCACCAAAGCCAAAGCTGAACCCTATCTGCCTGGGTACCTGCCCAAAATACCTTCCTCTGCCCACTTTGACCTCCAACAGCACTGCCAGGCAGGCAGATGAGGCCAGCTCTGGGGAATCTGGAAAACTGGTGCCTTGGGGAGATGCTAGTACCCTCAGCTCTGGAGGCAGGGAAGCCAACTCTCCCCTCTGGCCCCAGTCTGGCTGTGGTGCTTTTGTTTCATAGGCAGGCTGTTGCAATGGGCAGGTCCTTCACACTCAACAGAGGATGACAGCGCTGCTCTTGACATGACACAGCTTGGGGGCATGCGGTTTTTTGAGCCTTCAGATTTTGCCATGCAGGCTGTGGTTTCCCCTCCTAGCACACCCCAAGTAGAGAGGAACTGGCTCCAGACAACTCCCTCTTAACCTTTTTAAGGCACTAAACTGAAAAACACATGGCATATTAGATTTTTTTGAGTGACAATTAACTTGGGACTTGTTATTTGCTTTGCAGGTTGAAGAGGCCCTATCAGACAGTCACCAGTGAGCCTTCACCTGCTGACCCAAGCACTCCAGCGCTGGCAGCTCATCAGCCAACGCTGTTCACTGCATGCACAGCCAATGCATGGTCACTCCTTGCTGATGGGTAAAAGCGGCCTCAAAAGAATCAAGTCAGGGCTGGAGAAGACAGCTCCAGCTGTGAGGCTCCAGCTGCTTGAAAATTTCACCTCTCATACTTCCCGATTTGAGCACAACTTCCACTTTTTAAAGGATATCTTCTTATTTCTACATCTGATTTCTTCTAGCTGCTGCGGTTTAACTCTGCTGTGGGAGGGTGTCCTGTGAGGGCCTGTATGTGTGTGATTACAGCCCACCACTACAGAGTCATAGCGCTCTCCAGTCCGTTTCAAGGTTTTAACCATTCCATGTGACTTTAACAGACATCTTTATTTTGACTACTTATATTTAATTATGTTTCCACCAGCACGGATTGCTCCTTTTCCCCTTCCTGGCTATGGTTTTTGCAGGATCTCTCTCCACCAGCTGGGGCCAGGCTCCACCATGAGCTAGCAGCAGGTGTTGCCTCTGGCCCACTCCCACCATGTAGTGTTGGTGGTCAGAGAGGTTGTCTTGGTGCTGTGCTCCCCAGCAGCACTCCCCAGTCTACAGCAAGGCAACCAAACTCTTCCCAGTGACATTTTCTACACCTGACAAATGTTATATGTTCCCTAACATCCTCAAGACCTGGCATCAAGACCTTGCCTGCTGCCATACTGCAGATCAGACCCACCACTACTGGTCTCCCTGGCTTAGCTTCCTCCTCATTTTCCTGCACAGCAAAGTCTCACAGATGTTGTTTTGGGAAGCACACGTGAGCAGCGGTGACTGCTTTCATGTTGAGCTTGGCAAGTGCTCATTCCCTGTCTGCATGCCAAAGGTGAGCAAGGATCTGGCAGAAGAAAATGGGCACCACTCACTTGGTGGTGGGAAGTTTCTGTTTGAGAAAGCTGCTGCTGGTGAGCACTGCATGTATGATGGTGTTTTCTGTGATTTTGAAAGAAGAGAACCACAAAAGGGAAAATGAAGCCCAGCTGCCAGCAGAAACAGCACAGGGAGGTGCTGTGCCACCCACACTGGGGTGCCAGGCCCAAGGGAGCAGAGCAGTGCCTGGATGTCCTGGTTTTATGATTTTGTTATTGGTATTCCACATCATAACATAATGCACTGGTAATTAAAGAGTTAATGTTACAGTTCCGTGGACTGCTGATTTTCTGGGTACCTGGTTCTCAGAAGAAAAGGAGAAGTACATACCCCTGAGGGGGCTTTTGTTTCCATTTTCCATTCAGAGGGAAAAATAAAACTGCTCACAGACCGTGAATCGTCTCCTTCTCCTTTCAGCTCATCTCTGCGTGCCTGCTCCCTAGCTATCTCACCTTCAGCATTAGAATAAAGTCTTAGGTTTCAGACTCTCTCTCTCTTGTTTTATTTGATTTATTAGCCTCAATTCCTATTATATGGTGTTATGTTATCTTGCATTCTGGTATCTTATTTAGTAAATTAGCTTTCCTCCTCAGATTGTTGCCACTGTTTTGTCTTTAGGTCCATCTCCCATCTCCCTACCCTTTCCCCTTTTCCTTTTTCTCCCTTCCCCTTTCCCGAGGCTTGGTGTCCATGTGTTCCCCCATCCCATTAGTCATGGAACTGTGCTGAACCAGCCTGTAAATCATTGACACTGTGAGCATGTGGGAACGGAGCAGACACTTCTCACAGCAGACTGTATCTGTCAGCATGCACACAGAGCATGGCCAGGCTATGCCCACAGTGCAGCAGAGGTTCCAGTCCTCACTGAGCCACAGCTCTGACTCCAGCCAGCCTGCAGGGTCCAGGGCCAGGTCCCTCCTGTCCCAGCTACAAGTGCTGACAAAGGTTAGTGTTAGGAAACATTTCTTCTCAGAAAGAGTGGTGATGCAGTGGCACAGCTGCTCAGAGAAGTGGCAGAGTCACTAGAGGTGTTCCAGAACCATGGAGATGTGGCACTGAGGGATGTGATGTGGTCAGTGAGCATGGGGGAATGGGTTGGGGTTGGACTTCATGATCCTAGAAAGGTCTTTTTCAACCTTAACGATTCAGTGATTCTGATTTCAAGAATTAGACAAAACATTCCAATAATATATCCTTGTAAGCATAGCTGCTGAATTGTTGAATAGTAAGATTAAAGCTTGCTTGCATCCACCATAGCTGTGGAAGATAATTGTGCCACAGCACTGTAGATGGAAGGCATGCTGTATGACTGCTCTGCTTTAACAAGGGAAAAGAAACATGCAAAAGGAACACTGTGCACCTGTTTTGTGGAGACCTTAAGCCAGAATCCACACAAGAGGCAGAACGAGCCTAAAATGTGACAGTGTCAAGATACTGGTTTTCCAAATCTGTGTTTGCAGAGACTCCTCTGCTTGTCCTTCCATCCCATAGCAATCTTTGGGACAAAAACAGTCCTTCACTGAGTTTTTTGGAGAGTTATCCCAACGCTATCCCAGCGTTGCCAGTAAGAATACCTGCTTAGTGATCTTAAAACTTTTGCTTCTAAGTTTCCTTGAATCCATTTCCTCATGTCGATTCTACGACACAGCCCTGGGCTAAGCTCTGCTCCAACCCAGAGCCCCAGGTTTAACCACAGCGCAGCCAACCTCTCCTCGACTGTTTGCAGAAGCGGAGCGCTGAAGGCCCTGCCGCCCCTCTACAGCTTCGCCGCCCGTCCAAGCGCTCTTCGCCGCGCCACAACGAGTAGCCGCACCGGCCCCGCCGCCCCGCCCTCCCCCGTCGCCCGCCCCGGAAGGAAGAAGTGAGGACAGGAAGGGAGTGCGGAACACCGCCCGGCAATCTGCGTCCTCGGAGCAGAGTTGTGTGCGCGCACCGCGTGGCCGCGTTCTCTTCCGGCACGCGCCCCGCTCGGCCATGGTGGGGAAAGTACGGCGTCCGCGGCTGCACGGCGCCGCTCCCCGACCCCCGCTGCGCCCCGACCCGGCGCCGCCCGGTCCTGGCGGCCGCACCGCGTCCGCGGCGAAGGTAGCGGGGCGGCGGGGGAAGCGCAGCGGAGCGGGGTCGCGCGGGGCTTGCTGCCGTGACGCCGCGCTGGCTCCGATTTGGCTGAAGCTGTGCGCTCGACCCGCCCAGCGGCTCCGCTCGTTTTGCAGATAAACGGTGTTTCCCTGCCCGGCGTGTGGAGCGCGGGGCCGCCCAGACACGGGGCAACACCTCCTCGCGCTTCTTACGCCTTCAGCCCGCTCTGTTCGGTTTCGCCTCGGTCCCTTCTCAAGGACGAGGGGTGGGAAGCGAGGAGTCAGCCTCGGGGTGCGGGGGGGCTTATCTCAGGCTGCGCGAAGGATTTCTGCGTAGAGGGTGCCTGGGGGTTGCCCTGGGAGCTGCAGTCCGCGTCCCTGAAGGTGGTTAAGGGATGTGCGGCTGCGGCGCTGGCGGATGCAAGTTCGTGGTGGGACCGTCTGCTCGGCAGTGGCTGAACTCGGTGGTCTTGAAGGGCTTCCAGCTTTAGTGACTCCGTGATTCTATAAACCAGGGCGGTGGATCCAGCCTGCTGAGGGCCAGGCTGGGAAGCGTATGGGAAGCGTAGATCGAGAGCTGGTGTGCTGCTGGTCAGCAGGACTGGGACTTACCAGCTCCTCCAGTCAGCGGTAGCAAGGCGATTCCTCCTGTCTGAGCTGCATGTGCAGAGGTTTGATGTCCAGTGGCGGTCCCACACTGTCCCTGTGTGGGATCTAAAGCTTTTGCTTCCTTTTGAGGCACATCTGGTGGCCACGAGGCGTGCTGCCTTTGTGGGCTGTCCCAATGGCACTGTGACCTCTGATGGCCTGGCGGGTGTCTGCTTCTGTATGCACAGGGAAGGCTCCTGAAGGTGCCTTTTTGTAGCTCCAGGTGTGGCTTAGCAAAGATATCCAAGGGAGTGGTCGTTGACCGTGTGGTGAGATGCCATAAGACAGGCCTGGTGCCCACTGGAGGTCCTTGAAACAGAAGATTGAGTTAAATTTTCTAAACGTCCTCATTTTTAGGAAAGTTGTGTGTTGAAGCTGCTGTAGCATTGAGCTCTGCCATGTGTCTGCTTGTGTCCCACCCTGCAAGCCACAGGAGTGAATGAGCCACAATGGTGGTGGCTTCTCAAGGCAAGTGGGCCATGAGTCCTTAGGGGCCCTGGTAGCCCTTAGGTTCACCCCACCCAGTGCTGCTTAGCAGGGCCTTTGTACACACCATAGGAGGCTGCAGGCCTTGTTCTGCAGTGCCTTCCCATTTCTGGCCATGGCAGGTGGGGTTGATCTGCCAGCTCACACATAACCATTAGGAGCTTTACATTCCATTAGATTTCAGCGGCTGGTAGGCCATTCATGCCTGTACCCTCTTCCCTTGTAGTAAGGACACAGGAACAGCAGTAAATGTTATTTATGCATCTACAGCTTTCCTTTGGGGAGGAAGTGATAGACTACATCATGCTGAGATGTGTTTATAGCTTTGTGCAGTTGTGTGTCTGTGCTGGGTGACTCTTAGTTAAGGCAGTGAGTTCTCCATAGCAAACCATAAAGGCTAGTGCAAAGCTTGGGGTTTAGGAAGTACTGTGTGTTTAAAGGAATGTGATGCTGAAGGTTTGGTGAGTTGTTAGTTGTTAGTCACTCAGTCTTCTTCATGTCCCCTGACAAAAGCAACAGATCAAGAGCCTAAAACCTATCTGCATTGTTCTCTGTATACATACCTATTATAAGTCTGGCTTTTCCTGTGGGTGTTATTCATAATTCAACTAGGAGTAAACTTGAATTCAACTGAATGAGGTAGGATACAGCTACTGGTCCTTTAAGAATGGTAACAGCTTTGGGATCCAGCATGTTGGATGTTGGCAAGGCCCTGGGTGCTCCCCCTGCCTGCTGATGAAAGGCACCTGCATATCACTACTGGAATGTTTTCGTTACTCCCAGCAGGATGGTATAGGGTTTAATTATCTTGTTTCTAATTAATGCTGCTGGTTGGTACTGACTCCTTGTTAATATTTCTTATCAGGACTGGGACTTCTCATCATCTGACATCTTTTCTGGGCTGACTATTGACCCTGATTCTCTGGTGAAGAAACTTGACTTGGACACCAGAAGCATTGTTTCATCCAAGACAGGTGAGGAGCAGGATCTCAATCTGTAAGTGCCCACAGGACTGTGAGATGCTTTGGAACCACCTGGTGCTGGAGGAAATAACCTTTTGTGGCCAGGAAAGCCATTGTAAGGACAAACGTTCTGCCTTTGTGCTTCTAATGGTCCTGCTGTTTGGTAGCCATATCAAAGGTAGGAAAACATGCAGTTAATTCTGGAGAAGTATGTTTATTGGATAGAGCGGCTGTGTTTTGAATGGATACAGTATTAGGTTGTGAACATAGACTTGTTTACTTCGTTTGGGACTGCATTGGCAGCGTTGGGCCTGGCAGATGTTGGCCTGGTGTCCTGTGCTCTTACTGGACACTGCTCTTTTAAAAGGGGCTTTGGTTTGTGGCTGCAGGACACAGGAAAGCTCATCTACTATCTGTGTTTCCTATTCCCTTGGTGAGGAGCTCGCTTTGGTCTACATGATAGCTTCTTTGCTAGGCTGTGCGGCTGGAGCCTTCATGTGGATGTCTTCCTGCAGCCAGAGGCCCCCAAGGTATGAAGCGACAGCAGAGTCTAGGCTGTCACCTGGCCTCCAGGCTTCCTCTGTTGCTCTTCTGCTTCACCAGCAGGTGAAATTCATGCCTCCATATTTTGTCAGCAAATCCTGGGGGTTTTCTTTATGCTGTCCAGGCTAATTTGGCATGTTGTTCCTTAGCAGTGCTTTACCTATGGCAACCCGAGAGCAGCCAGTTCTCTTATCCTGTCCTATGCTGGTGCTGAGTTCTCTGTTCAAGAACTCCTGGATGGAAGAGTTAGGCTCACCAGGGAGTGTGTGGTGAGAGGAGTTGAGAAGGAGGAGATGATAGTGGCTTTTGTTTCCTGTTGCACAGGAAGAAAATGCTCTCATTAGCTGCTTAGTGGTAGACAGAACTTTGTATCTGAAACCGGTTCAATAGAAACTGATGGCACAGGTGGTCTGACCTGGTGCAAATGTCTATTTCAAGATATGTGTGACTTCCAAATACTTCATTTGCAAACTTAAATTAATGTATTCTCTCCATGAAGATTAATACTGCATGACTTTGTTCTCACGTACCAAGTAGTCAGGGCTATAAACAAACCCAGCAATTCCGCGAGGGCTAGTGGGCACCTGAGCTATGGTGAGCTGTGGCTGCAATAGCCCCTTAGTCACATTTTGGACGTAGGGAGGGGGGATGGGAAGGTTGTGTGAGGGCGTTTGCTTGAGATGCTTGTTCCCTGCACAAAAGTCTTGATGAACTGTGTTGTTTTGAAAACACTGAGCTTATTGTTTGTAATTCTCTTGGAAAAAGGATGCGTGTGCATGTGAACATGGCCATCTCTTTAATTAAATTAGACAACATGTTGTTAAGGACTGACAGTCTGCAATCCTGGTCTTTCCTTGCAGGCTACAGCTGTGCTTGTCTGGTTTATAAATAGACCTGGGCTGCTGGTCACTGTGCACTGCTGATGATGCAGATGATGCAGATGTGCAGTGCCTGGCAATGTTTAACTCGCTCCTGAGGCTGTGTGCTAGTGTCTTTTAGATCCTTTGTGCTCCCTTGGTACTTTCTAATTGATCAGCTAGAGACAGCTGTTTTTTTAGGTACTTGGAACCGTATTTCTAAATTTTCTAATATTTGTATATTGTATTTCATATGCTTTATCCCATGAATCTGGTCTTTTCCAGTAATCAGTCTAGTCTTGAGAAGAGCTTGGAATTGAGTTTAGCTTTTAGTTGATGTCAGCCTCAAACTTGGCAGTGGTCAAAAAACCCAAATCAGCTGTTCGGAAGTAGGAGGAAAAGAGAACAAACTTGAGGGCAGTTATGCCACTTTATGAGTAAATGCATGTTACCTGCAGATCTTTACTACTGCGTATGGTCCTGCCCTCCTTTTTTCCAGAAATTTAGAGCTGAGCCAGCAGCGGTTTGGAGAAGGGAGAGACAAGGATGGGCAAGAGCAGCAAGGGAGGGTGTGATGGAAATCAGAAGAGCTGCACAGTGAGGGAGAGTGGCTGCATCTATTCTGTTACAAACCTGGGAGAAGCAGTGAAAAGAGCAAACAGTATACATGTACTAAAACATGACATTTAGTGTGTTGTGTAAAATGCAGTCCTGGCTTTGAACCAATGTATTGACGTGCGGAAATCAAACTCTAACCACAGAGTAGTCAGAAAGCAGGTATGTTTTATCAGCACTGTGCACATGCCGGATGCAGGGGGGATATTCCCACCTAGCCTGCATACTGGAGGGCAAGAAGGGCACATAGTTAAAGAGCAAGCTACTTACATATGCATTACGTGTCCAAGAAAAGGCTTGGTTATTACAATGAATCCCCAAAATGATTGACATTCCTCCTGTACCCCAAGTCTCTGCTCTTTTACACATGTGTATCTCTCAGTGGCCTTTCTGATGAAGGTCATCGTGTTATTTTCTTGGATTTGGGTTAGGATGGAGGATGCTTGGCTGGCTCTGGTTGGTTGTCTCATTGGTCACAATTCTGTTCACCAATCCGCTGCTTCTTCGTTAATGTGTGGGTTTACTGTTTAGGCTTGCTACCTTGCATTCCAGAGATAGGATAGCTAATGATGCTGTTTAGAAAAACAGGAGACCCACTGTCTGCATTAATTGTCTAAGTCTGTAGAAAAGCATCTGTTATCGGCAGCAAGAACCTGGCTTAACAAGGTCAAATCTGCAGCTGCTGATTCAACACCTCATGAAGGCACATAACTTTTAACCTAACTTTCCTTAATTCAGTATGAAGTGCATGCTGAATGCTTCTGTAGTTTTAGAAAGGGGTTACATGCATTGGTGGAGAGGTCCATTGGGTTTTTCTTGCTGCAAGGACTTGTCCATGTTTGGAACATGCTTGGGTACTGGGGAAGCCTGACAGTTCTGCTTGTACCACTAGGGAAGCTGCGTGGGACAACTGGAGCAATAGTGGTGCAGGCTGTGCACTGGAAACCAGCTAAAGAGCAGCAGAGCACAGGTTACTCACAAGTGATGAAAGCTTTGTTTACAGGTCCTGTTTTGATGTGCTGTAGTCAGAGAGATGCAGATGTATAGGAAACCCAGTTGCTATGTTGCTGGGGCTGAGGGGGCTATTGCCCATAGGTGTCAACAGGAGAAAAGGCCTCTCTTTCTACTTCTTTTTCTCCTTTTTCTCCATAGTCATTTAACAAAGTGGCAAGTTTTTGCTGCTCTTCTGGCTGTGCTTATTATGAGAAAACAGGGAAGGAGCACAGTACAGAAGTTAGGAAGGTTGGCATCTGTAGCAAGGTTAGCATTGCAGTTGCCATCCATGTTTGTGTGTACTTGTGAAGATGTGTGATGGGACTGAAGGGAGATGTGAGACCTCTTGCTTTGGAAGGTAAACTGCTAGTGTTGGTTCTTGTCAACTGAAGTTCCTGTTGTTTTCTGAGGATTTCTGAAGATTCTTGGTACATCTAGTGGAGCCTTGTGCCCTGTCAAAACATCTGCTATGCTCTCTGCAATGGTCTTGTTGCTTTCCTTGGAGACAAGGCTGATTCAGAATGCTTGTTGTGTTTGGTGAAAGGTATCAGTTTGTTGGGAAATCTGTAATGTTTGCAGCATGAGAAGGAGAGGGTGGAATTGTAATTCAAAATGTCACCTAAATGGAATTCATTTCAGTTGACCCTTGCATCTGTGACTGTAGGGAGATAGTGGCCTAAAGTGGAAAATATTTTAATATGAGGAGCTCTGAGCCATGCCCTGCTATAAAGCAGACCTACTGCAACTACTTTCTTGTGCTCTGCTTCTTCTCTTTAATTATTAGCTCATCTTAACACAAGATTCCAGATGATTTCCACATGCTTGTAAGTGACAAAAGCCAGCAATGTTATGAACATTGGGGTTAAGTCTATGAGTTATTTGCTGAATGATTGCTTCCTATCAGTGTAGTTTACTTAGACACTGACGTAATGTAAATCAAATTCTTTGCCATAATCTAATCCATGCAAGGACTTCTGTTACTGGTGTGAGAGAATAAATCTCATCTGGGAGAGCCTCTCTAGCGTGGGAACTGAATGTTTCCAATTAAGTCAGAACTAATGGCCTGCCATATGGGAGTGTATGCAGAATGGAGTTTGCTTCTTGATCGCAGAATCAGGGAATCATAGACTGTCTTCAGTTGGAAGGGATCCACAAGGATCTCCAAGTCCAGCTCCTGGCTCCACAAAGGACCACCCAAAATCCAATCCTTGTGTCTGAGGGCGGTGTCAATGCTCCCTGAGCTACGACGTCTCGAAGCTCTGGAGAGCTGCTCCATGCCCACCACTCTCTGGTGCAGAGCCTTTTCCTCACCCCAGCATGACCCTTTCCTGATATAGGCCACCACGAGGCCTCCTCTCAGTCTCCCCTTCTCTGGGCTGAACCAACCAAGGGACCTCAGCTGCTCTTCACACACTTTGCCCTCCAGACCACCATCTTTACGGCCCTCCTTTGGATGCTCTCTGATAGTTTTATCCTTCTTACACTATGGCACTTTTCTAACTTGTATATTATTTTGAGCAGTTCTTCAGCTTTACCTCCGGCATTTTTGCTTTCAAAAAGAGGCCTGTTCAAGTGTGACTCTGGCAGACCACTTGACTGGGAATGAGTAAGTTTTCCTGCAGTTTGTGTTTGCTCCTTGTGTGCCACTGGTGAGCCAGGCAAATGTGAAACACAAATTGAAAGCTTTTGCTTTGTTGGTCCTGGGCTCATTAAGGGTCTTGAAGGAGACTGTAAGGAAGCATGGCAGGAGTTACCAAGGCAGGGGACACAGGCTGACATTAGGCTAAGCAGAAGTTGGGTTGGGCCTCTTGGCTTGTTGAAGTCTGGGTCTGCATGAGGTCATGCAGAGCTACAGCAGAGTTTCAGGCATGCGTGCTGTGCTGTTCCCTTCTGTCTTGGGAGCTTTGGTTCTCTGCTGAACAGAATACCCTTGCAGCACAGGTTTCTGCATCAGTGGTATGAGTAGGAGCAGAGGGGTGAAGTGATGGAGCACCTGGCAGAGGCAGAAATCCCTTTTCCTTTGGAGAAATATGAAGATGAGAGTATAAAATCAGGCCAAGGAAAAACTGGACAGCTTGGAGTTGGTCTTACTTTTCCTCTCTCATGGATAACTTGTGGATTCCTTCTGTTGTCAAGTCTGCCTTTGCAGAATTACTAGCTGGCCCACTCTGCACCTCAGTCTCTGCTGTGGTGTTCCGGATTTGCTGGATATATCAGATAACTGCTTCCTTCTCTTTGGACTCTGTAGCTACTTGTCCAATTCCCTTCTCCTTATGTAGCCTCAAGAAAGAAGCAGAAAACCTGCAGTTGGCAGGTTGGCTTTGTGGCCCTGCCATAGAACCATGTATTAAGTTCATGTGATGTGATATGTTTTCCTGTGCTGATATTTTTTTTTTCTTTTTTTAGATAAATGGTTTGCCAGGATCTATATGATCATCTCTGTTTTCAGCTTTGCACAGTGTCTGGACTTTCTGTTACTGCTGCAGTGGATTAGCTGTTGTGTTTGTTGCTTGCTGAATTGCACCTGTGGCCAGTCTCCTGTTACTCTTTATGAGCTCTAATACGATACTAATCTTTGTGTCTTGTAATTCATTCCTGTCTGTTCCTTGTATTTCTCTTTGTCTGTGTCCCCTGAATTTTGCAGCTTTTTCTCTCCTGTCCTCACCTCTCATCACATTTCTGCATGAAATGCCTCTGTATGAGTCAGAGTTGTGCTTCTGGTAGGAGCAGGTTTCTTCTCTTGGGAGGATGTTTGCTGTCTTACTCCACAGAGTGTGGTGTAGGTTTGGCCTTTCTGCTGTGTCTGATGCTGTGCACCTTTTTTAAGCAAATATTTGGTGATATGGCATAGCAAGAACAGGCTGGAGGTGCTGGCAGTGTTATCAGCGCAGACCTTTTGGACCTCTCTGTATGTCCTGTGCAGCCTGCTGCCTGCTATCTTGTGCAGCTTCCTTAAGGCATCTAAAGCATCTCTGTTTTCTTGTGCATAGTGCTGCACCTGCCTTGTGCAGATGGGTTTTCAGTTTTGTTTTGCTTTTTTCTTTCCTGGTGCTTTAGAGTGTTTAGAATTTGAAAGACTGAAAACATCCTGTTCTGTTTTCATTAATTCACCCTTTCTGAATATCACTTTTAAGCCTTTACTGCATTTTCTTGATGCAACTGTAGGGTGTTTTTAAATCTTCTGCTTGTGATGACTATTCTGTACATCCCTAGCAGGGAAAGCTGCTGGATCTTAATGATTCTGCTGCTGTCAGCTTTCTTCAGCATTTAATTCTGGGCCTGTCACTGCCTTAATCTGTTCCCCACTCCTCTGATAGGATAGGGCAACAGTAAATTTGCAGATTGAGGGTGGAAGTAAGTGTCCTATGAGGAGTGGCTGTGTGCCTGTGTGAATGTGATGTGCTGTCCAAAGCAGCAAGATATTCCTGCTCCATCAGTGTCTTTGTTATTAACTGCTCAGATGTTGGTCTCTGTGAATTCTGGGAATAACGAGATGCTCTCTTTTGCTGCTATCAGTGGTAGCATGTTGGCAGTTGTTTTACACTGAAACCATTTGTAACATCTTTGAAAACCTCTACTTGGCATGTTGCTGCTCCCATAGAAGAAACTGCTGAGTACCATTTGAGGTGAGATGTCCTGCTTTCATGGCTGGGGAACTGGATGAACCTGGGCACCCAGACTCCATTACAGAAAAGTTTGAATAAAGCTCAGCCTTGATCATTTGAAGTCGTGTACCTCTCCTTTGCTTGCCTCTCTCTTTTTGCCCATTGTGCAGCCTGCACGGGTCAGGGATGTGTCCCCAGACTTTAAGTTGGGCAGCTGTGTCAGGCAAGCTGCAGAAGTTTCGTTGCAGACTTCTCTCTTCCCTGACGGTGCTGCCTCATTCCTTTTCCTTTCCCAGTGCTGGCCAGCTGTCTGGAGGAGCTGTTTCCCACTGAAAGCACATGATGTTTGAATGCATCTAACTGACATGGGCTGTGCAGAGCTGAACCAGTGCTAGGTAGAGCTGCAAACCTTAAACTGGCCTACAGATTGGTTGGCCTCCCTAAAAAGCACTAGAAGACCCTCACTTTGCTGGCTTTCTCTTCCTCCTCTTTGGCTATTCTTGTCTTTCTTACCAATGCAAATCCTTCTCAAACAGTAGGAATAAATTATTCTTATGCATCTAGATTTTTACTTTTTTTTGTCTTTCAAGATGAGAGTCTGAAGTGGGAAAGAAAGAAAGCATAGTGGGAGTTGTTTTTTTTCTATGATGTTGTATGTGAAAGTGCAAGTAGCCCCACCCAATTTACAAGAAAGCAAAAATTCCTAGAAAGGGGGTGATGCTGAGTAGGGATTATACAGGGAATGTGATAATCTTTACTTCTTTCCCAGCCCCAGATTGATAACTGGGTATGGAAAATGGCTGTGAATGACTGCCCGTGTGTCTGTGTCTTTGTCATGTTGTCTGAGGAAGTAGTTCTTCTGTCTTTTTGCAGAAGTGCAGTCAGTAAAACACTGCTCACTTCCAAGCATTGAACTGAGTTGCAGCTAAACTTTTCTGTTATTGTACCCCCACTGGCCTGACACAAACTGCAGGATACTCTGAACAATTTGAATGGGATGGAGTGCTGACTGGCATGGAGCAGATGGAGCGCAGTTCATTTTTTTTATACAGGAGCAAGTTGAGAACGTGGATCTTCTGGAGAAGGAATGTTTTAAAATATATTACGTATAGTATATAATATAATACAATATAATTAGAATTGGAGCTAATAAATCAAATATAATGAGAGTGTCTGAAAGCTGGAGGCCTTACTCTAATGCTGAGATGAGATGGCACCCACAGCCAAGAGAGGCCAGAAGATATAAAAGAGGAAAAAGGGAGTGTTGGGTGACCAACCAAGGTCTTTATCTGTTCCCCCTGAGCGGAAATGATAACAGAACAGTGAATAGTCTCCTGGGAACGTAGTAGTTCTTCTCTTTCGGGGCAGATAACTGGACCTGGAGCACTAACTCTTTAACCTCCATTGCAGTCCATGATGTTATGATGTGGAATACTGATAACCAAAAATTGTAAAACCATGACATTTGATAACTCAGTATGCCACTTTATTAGTAGGCTTATAGGCTTGATGGTAGTTGTAAATCATTTCAGGCCTAGAACTATTGGCAGTTTGCTTTTGACTATGGCTTTATGTGGGTAAATTTCTTGACGTGGCAATTTATCGTACTTCCTACCTCACTATTTTTGGCTGAAATCCTTTTACTTTTTTTTTTTTTTTTTTCCTATGTCTTTAGGTGCTGTTCTTACATTAAGAGAGTTAGATAACCTTGTAAGGGTAATTTTGCTCTCTGACTAATAAACAGACCTTTATAGAGCTGAATGGTGTTTGAGAGGAACTCTGACACTGACGGATAGTATGGGAAGCCTCTCCAGATGATTTTAATCTGCAGCACCCTCCATCAGAAGTCTGTAGATTGCAACAAATCACCTTGATGCCAGAGGACTCTTCTGCTGTTGCTTAGGTTTAAAGGATGAAAACCAATGAGGGCCCTACTTCAAGAATCAAGCTGTCCAAGTCCTGAACTGCGTGGGACTGCTTGACATTGAAAACGGTGACCCATTGCAGGTAGCTTGAGTGAAAATTTGAAATACAGTGGGAATGCTACTGTAACTTTAGGATACTGGTGCCTCACAAGTAATTCAAGGAGAAAGTCCACACTGGTTAAAATCAGTTTAGTAATTCATTGTGCTATGTGAGGCCCTCTGTGAGAATAGCTGTGTGAGGCTCCAGCTTAATTAGAGTCAATGCAATTAAATGAGAAGAGCTAAAATGAATGTCTGAAATCTGTGCTGCTTCAAGTGCTTTGACTTCTGGAAACAGCGTTTCCATGTTGTGAGTGCCTTTTGCCAGACCACGGAAATCAGTTGTGTTAATATTTATGGAAGTAATTAACTTTTTTTTTTTTTTTTTTTTTTCCTTCCCTGTGGCTGTGGCTAAGTCCTTATTCTTAGTATTAACATTTTAAAAACGATTCTACAATTAGCTTGTGGTCATGGATACTCATCGCCACACAAACAATAACATTTTCCAGAATGCCTGGAGCTGCCAAGATGTTTGCAGTCTGGGAGAGGAGGACGTCAGTAGCAGGAAGAGCCTGAAACAAATCTTCGGAGTTTGCACAACATGTCAGATCATTCTGAGTGCATTTTCTGCTTGATTCCTGTGACTGTGTGACATTCACCACCTATGAAGGTGGGAGTGTGTGCATACGTGGATGTAAGGGAGGCGAGCCCGGCTGCTGGAGCTGCTGTAGGGCTGAGAGCTGTGCTGCTGGGGAATCATGAAACTATAGAATCATTAAGGTTGGAAAAGACCACCGAAGTCATCTAGTCCAAACATCAACCCATCACCGCCGTGCACACTAAACTGTTTCCCTCAGTGCTACGTCTACCCTTTTCTTGAAAACCTCCAATAAGCAGCTGTGAAGCTGCATCCTCTGGCCTTTGTAAGACTTGAGTGCTCTAGTGTGTGGTTGTTAGGTCCAGTGTCAGTCCCTTGTGGCATGAAGGGGCTCTGCTGCATTGAGACTGTTGCATCCAGATCAGATATGATGGGCATAGCAGCTTGCGTGTGGTGCAGCATCTTGCTCTGTGAGATTATGAATCCCAAAGCCTTAAAAGGATACTAATGTAGCAAGGGTTTCTCCTCCTTTAATGCTGTCAGACATCGTTACACAAAAATAAATCAACCCTGCTTAGGAGAATACTGGAGCTGGAGAGGGTTACCAACAAAAATCCCTGTGTTGTTGTTTTAATGTTACAGCCTTGGCATAATTGAGTTACACAATTACAAATGCTTCAAAGGAAAAGAAGCCTGGTTCTGCACTGGTGGCAAAGATACCACCCAACACTGAGTCCAAGTAAGGAAACTGTCCCCTGAGACGTGGCAGGAACAGTTACACACTGAGTAAAGTGAGAAAGAAAAATCCCATGAGGGGGAAGAAGTGACTGTGGAGAGAGCCAGATTGACAGCTCTGGAAGTTGAGAGCTCTTTCCTTGTCACCAGAGCATGTATGGAGTTGGGTCAAACTGTCAAACATATTTCTAAAATACATACCCTGGGAGTTTAATTTTTAATGTACGCTCTACTTAGAATATTGGTAGAGACTGGTAAAGGATGGATGGGAAATCTCCTTTCTGGGTTTTCCCTTCTGACTGGCTTGGTCATGCTGGGAAATGTCCATGTGAGGAACATTATTCTGCTTGGGTATTCTTTCTTTCAAGGGTCTTCTGTGCTAAGATTGCCATCTGTATAAATCAGATCGCTGGATTACTAGAGACAAATCTCTGCTTTGCCAGTGTAGGTCTTACCTGAATTATGAGCTGTGTATTTAATAGTAGAATTCTCAAGAGCTGATGTCTGTAATTCAGACTAAGTCTTTAATGTAAGGATGTATTTAATGGAATAGTCTCACTTGATTTGTTTGTTTTGTTTTAGTGTAGAATCAGTTAACAGGGGCACTCTGTAATCTTCCAGTTACCCTACTGATGGCTCAGTATAAGTTACCCTACGGATGGCTCAGATAAGTTATAATTATGGGAAAACTTAATACTCATGTGGAGCTTTCTCCCTCAGTCCACCAAAATTGCAATGCACGCTTAAAAAGAAGAAGAAAAAAAAAAAGGTACAGAGTGCTGGTTTCTGTGCTGAGATCCATTCTGCTCAGGGGATCCTTGAAATACAGAGGTAATAAAAGACTATTTGTGAACAATTTATGGGGAATATTTTCTTTACACTGGATGAGTGCAACAACTTGAAGTCTATGTGCCCGCTGACTTTGTCTAGAAGTGGCATTATTGATGATCATGTGTGGCGTAACTGGTAATGGCGCAGCGTTTGGGTTTAGCTTTTTAGTCAGTTGGCTTATGGAAAGAAAGAAAGAAAGAAAGAAAGAAAGAAAGAAAGAAAGGGTTTTGTTTCCTTGGTTTTTAATAGGGGGAGTTTTTTGTGCAGTAAATCTTGATGGACATGGTCTAAGCTAAATGTAGGAAATGAAAATACAGAAGGATTAAATACAGTGAGTTCAAAAATATTCTGGGTAGTTTGAAATGGTAATTTGGGCAGATTTTTATTGAACTGGCAGTGTTACAAGTATGCCATGAAGCTAACCACAGGACATGAATTGTGCAGAAGAATGCACAGATGTTCTGGCAGAGAATCAGCTTGCAGGTACTCTGGAAGGCATTCAGTGTAGTGATATTGACAATAATTACAGCAAAGCAAGGTGTTTCAGGGGGTCTGGGAGGATACGGCAGGGAAAATGAGAAAGGCCAACTCCCTTCCTGGCCCACTGGCACTGCTTGCTTGATTGCATGCGAGAGGCGTGTGAGTAGTCAATAGATCTGCTTAAAGAATGTGGGTTTCTGAGTTATTTTGGACATTCATGCTGTACATGGCTGTGTATGTTTGTGCTTTGAGCTGATTTACTTCTGATGCATTTCGTAGTTATTTTTACTCATTTTTGTTTACATCTGTTTTCTTTAAATTCCTTTTGAAAGAAAGATTATTTGTATATTCAGGTCACTGGATGTTCTTATGAAACTGGGAAAGGGCGTCTCTTGCATGGATGGAACATTTCCTAGCTGCTGCAGATACGGGTTGTGTCTGTGTGTGCGGGAGTTATTTTGCAATGTATTTCAAGTAAAAAAAATCCTGGTATGCCAGCCAACAGAGGTACACAATGTCTTTACCAGACTGCAGGAAATCTGCTGGCAGAAGCCATGATTCTGAGTTTAAGTTACTTTGTTCGTTAACACTTTGAACTGATTCTCAGTGATGCTTTCAGCTGTCACTGGTGGCTCTTGTTACAGGTTCATGATCCTAGGGCTCAGCACATGTCCTCTGCTGCTGCAGATGCACAGGGTGCTTTAGTAGATTCTGTTTATATGGGGTTATTGTAACTTCATGTCTCTTCTTCCTCCAAAATAGAGGGTGTTGGCCTCCTTCCCTGTGTTGGGTGTAGGTAGCAAGGTTTTGCTCACAGAGGGAACTTGCAGGAGGAGGCCTGGACTCAGCCAGCTCCAAGGGACCCACCAACAGTGACTGTAAGCGATAAGTGACTTTCCTGTCTTTATCACAGCCCTCTTTTGGGTTGGAATGTGCAACTTCTCCATCTTATTTTCTCTCCCCTCCCCTGTTGAAGCAGGGAGAGCACCTGAGTTGGTGTCTGGCAGCAGGCCCAATCCACTACATGACCGTAGCTGTTGCGATTGAATTCAGTACTAGGCTGAAGTGTTGCTCTATGGCTGTTGCTCAGCCCTCCTCACTTGCTCTTTTAACTGAATGTTGAAGAATCACTAAATGGAATGTGCTCTGAATATTGTCCAGACTGACAGAGACCTTTGCATGAGGAACTGAATTCCCTGCCTGTGACTCACTTTTTATTAGTGGAGACAGCTGTTGAAGAAGGACATTCCTCTATGTTTATGTTATACCTGCACTTAATGATTTAGTCATGTAACAGATATTTTGTAGCCATGACCTCTGTGACCCACTCTAAGTGATCAGTTCTTTGAAAGCCTCCATATCTCTTGTGCCACATTGCAGCCTTGAAAGTGGATTGGAAGTGAAGAACAGTTGCCTTTGCCATCCCTCTGTTGTGCACGTTTTGGTCATGGAAGCTACAAAGGTGACTTGCTTGTGTCCCGAAGGTTGGAGTTTCTCCTTTTCTCCCTCTCTTTGGGAAAGGAGAACAGAACCAGATGTGGTCATATACTCTAGTTAAAGCTTGGGAAAATACAGAAAAGGTCTTGGATCTATCCAGGTGTTTCTCCTGTATGTCTATAGATCTTGCTGCATTTGTGACCTCATTGCTGACAGCTTTGTAGCAGAACGGGGCATGCCTCTGGCAGAGCAGAGCATCTCTTTGAGAGTGCTCTGTTTGAGATGTTGGATGTGCTCATTAGAGGGCAGTAGAATAACTTCTTTTTCTAGGTCAGCTTTATATTTTTGAATAATATTTTTTTGCTCTGCAGGATGCAAAGCAAGTTTTTCCACTTCTTCCTTCAGTTTTTCCAATTGTAATGAGTTTATAAAACAATGCTGTTTATATGAAAACATTGCCCAATATGAAGGATCATAGAACAGTGATAGTAAAATTTGCTTCTTGAAGCTTCTGAGTGCTACCAGCTCAAAGGAGATAAGCTTCTGTAGGATAAACCACAAGCAGCTAACACTGTACGTGGAGAAGCATCCAAAGGAATGCTTCACTGCTAACTTGTTTTTCTCTCAGCCTAATTCTTATATGACCTATATGTCTGTAGGGATCTATTGATTTATTTCTGTACCCCAGCTGCTGCTGCCACCTTTTTCTGCTTGAAGAAAATGTTAAAGAGACAGACTCTTTTTTTTCAGCTAAAAGTGATCTTTACATGAGATCTGCTAGTACCCTTCCTCTCTCCCCTGTATTTTATAGAAGGCTGTAACCCTGTTTTAGCTTTTGCAGGTAATGTGTTTCTGGCTTTAAAAAGAACTGTGCGGAAGTCCTGGCTAGGAATGAACATCTCCAGTGTGTGTTTTGTTTATTAGCAATATTTTGCACGCTGGTAACCTCTCTGGGGAGAGCGAGTTGGTTTGAGGCAGCTGGAATAGCAGGAAAAATGAATTTTTCTGTTTTTATCAGCATCAACCATTGTTCCAACAGATGGCTCTGATTTTGCAAGGTTTTCAGTGGAAGCAAACTACATTCACTAGAAGAAAATTAATATTTCAGGAGATGTACAAAAAGATTTTGTCTTGAGAACCTTGGGTGAATCTTTTTTCTCTGCAGCTCCTAGGCCTAGATTAGCAGACCTTGTGTGAGAGCTGGCAGGGGGGCCATGACAACCTTCTGTCTCTTCCAGAATGTTCTGGGTGTTTGCAGGGTGTCCTGCAGATTTCCATCCACCCTCATCATAAGGGATATGACTTCACATGCTCCACTGGGGTTCAAGTCGCAGGTTCCTCTTTTTGTTTTAGGGACTGTGTCCCTTGTGTGGGTGGGGAACCCTGCCAGAGTGCTTGGCTGCTCAGCTCCATCCTACAGTGTTTAAAAGGGTAGAGATATTCAAGTCCACAGACCTTGCAAATGGAGCAGCCTTCTTGATACTGGCAAGCACTGTTCATAGCACAGCAGTTTGGATCAGTCCTCTTCCTGGAGAAGATTGTGCTTTCTGGGCTGCACTCCACTAAGAAGCTGGCATTTATTCATGTCTTAGCTGTGACACCTCCGCAAAGGTAGGACTAGTGGATTGTTCCCTGT